TTTGTCTAGAAACTTACAACTTTTATGGCTATAGTGTGTATACTTGTACAATGCTGGAGTGCCTTTTGGCGGAGCCGGTATGTCTTTAGACTTTAGACTTTCCATTCCCCATATCTTTAAACTCAATTCACACAGGTCTTTCATACAGTAATGGCTTATTCAGGGTGTCCAGTCAGGTTGTGAGATTTGCTAGCAGGGCGGAGATGCTGTGGCTAATGTCCAAAGACAAGACTCCACTGGAATAACAGCACACAATGCAGTTACTCACAGTTAGACATGGCTTATTTATGAGGGTGGGGAAAGGGTAAACCTGTCCACTGGGTCACGAGGTTCCAGTTGGGCCCCCTTGCATTCAAAAGTGCCCTTCGGGCGGTCTCAAAGATTAAGCCATGCATGTCTAAGTACACATGGCCGGTACAGTGAAACTGCGAATGGCTCATTAAATCACTTATGGTTCCTTTGGTCGCTCCAACTGTTACCCATGGTCACCACGGTAGGTACAGAAAGTACCATCGAAAGTTGATAGGGCAGACATTCAAATGCGTCATCGCTGCCACGGGGGTGTGTGATCGGCCCGAGGTTATCTAGAGTCACCAAAGTGGCCGGGTGAGCCCGGGTTGGTTTTGGTCTGATAAATGCATGCATCCCCAGAGGTCAGCGCTCGTCGACATGTATTAGCTCTAGAATTACCACAATTATCCAGGGGCCCGGAAGTCCGTATAGGTCATTTTTGACCGCTTTGCCCGACCCTTCAATACAGGAGGGCTGACACTTTTGGTGGTTTGCCCCGGTGTCAGGGCCAGGTGCCACATCCACAAAACTTCCAGGAATAGTTCACGGAGATTTTCAGGGACATGTTTTTCAGGACCCTAAATGCCCATCTTTAGTTCCAGGAGGGCGGTGAGAGAAACCTCCGGGGCAGAACCATACTGCGCCCAAGGGTCATACGCGAGTTGTGTTCCCTGCTGCCGAGAGCAGGGAGGGCGGACACTTTGGCACGTGAGCTCCCAGTATTTTACAGCCCGCAACACCTTTCACTACATTGATGTGTTACCAGAGTTTATAAAGAGCTACAACCACAGTTTTCACAGAACTATCCGCACCAGGCCTGTTGACGTGAACTTCTCAAACTCTCAACAGGTGTGGAAAGCCGTGTACGGGGACTATTGCAAAATAAAATCAGCAGCACCCGTGTTTAGGAAAGGAGACCACGTGAGGGTGTCTAGTACCAAAGGGAGATTTGAAAAAGTTTATGAATAAACATTCACCGATGAGATTTTCATAGTGGATGAAGTCCTTAGACATGTGCAGATGCCTGTATACCACCTAAAAGATTATGAAAATGAACCTATGGAGGGTTCTTTCTACCCTGAAGGACTACAAAAAGTGAACCCCAAACAGGACAGAGTTTACAGGGTTAAAAAAGTTCTGGCAACAAAAGGAAAGGGAAGAAAGAACCAGTTGTTGCTGAAATGGTTGAGGTGGCCATCTAAATTTAACAGCTGGGTGGAAGCCTCCCAAGTTTGTAATATATAGGGATACCTCAGTCAGAAGGCTGAGATGTGTGAGGGCGACTTTTACATCACTTTGCCCAGCAATGCTTGCACCAGCATTTTTCCGCAGAACACCAGCTCGAGCTTTACCATACAACTGGTTAAACCTCTGGATCTGCTGGGGAACTGGGAGATAGGGTTAGCAGAAATACAATACCCGCACAGCTGGAACAGCATCAATGAAGACACTCCTTTCAAAATTATTTCTGGGACTAAAAAATGGGGGCACAGCCTGCCTCAGGGGTATTATACAACCATCACAGAGTTACTGGATTTTATGAACAATACAATTACCACCAATCCTACTCTGCCCTAATTAGTTATGCACTATGACCAAGCATTTGGGAAAGTGAGACTTAAATCCAAAGATAACTCTTATGGTTTGTATACGCATTGTGAGCTAGCCTATATTTTAGGAATGCTACCTGGAGTCTCTGTTAAAAAATCACCCTTCCCAGCTGATATTACCAGTAGGTTCAAGTCACTGTATGTCTACATGGACATTGTGGAACATCACCTTGTCAGGGAGTTTTTGGTACCTTTGCTATGCTGCCTCCCTGTCTGTGGGAGCAACAACGAGTTTGTCACCATCACATATGACAACCTGCATTATGTCCCCATCAGTCAGCACCACATCAACACAATCAGCATTGAAATAAAGATGGATCAGAACAAACACATCTCATTTTGCTTTGGTAAGGTGATTGTTAAGCTTCACCTACGCCCCCGGAAGACTTTGAGATTTTAAAATAAGTAAAAGTACAATGGAGATGGTAAAAAAACTATGGGGACCCTAATTTGTACAGAAATTATTATAAAGGTCAGGCTGGGTATGGTCTTTCTGGATATCACGGGGTGCCCGTGATGTACAGGGCTGGTGTGGGAGGCATATTCCTCAGCCTCTTTAGAAAAGCCATTCCGCTTTTGAGAAGGGGTCTGGAGATTATTAAGCCCCACGCTAAAAATGCGGCACAAAACATAGCCAAAGATGTGGTCGGTCATGTCTCCCAAGCTGTCCTAGATAAGGTGGTCAAGCCGACAAAGCAGGAGGGGTCCAGTCTCATGTATATTCAAAGAAAGAGCCTTAAAAGAAAGAGAGACACACCAGACTCTGGACTTGTAGGACCTCCTCAACCCCTTAAAAAGAAGAGGGTAAGTCAATGGGGCATCCAGACATGAAAAACCAAGGAGCAGCCTGGGAGAAAGAAGGGGTGCTCTCCTGGAGGAAACAGAAATATATTTTAACCGCCATGGCCTTTGTTCCTTGCGGGTCTGAAGAATGTACCAAATCCGAACTAGATGTGTTTCAAATAGCCCTTACACAGACCTGCATTGAGGAGAGCCTGTATGTTGAGATCCCCCCCACTCTTGGCTATTACCGAGTCCAGCCCCCTTGACTTTTTCATAGCTGGGAATGGTGAAGATTACATGGATTTGAATAATACACTGCTGTACCTTTGCTGCAAGATTGTAAAAGGCGATGGAACTGATCTTGATGCCGGAGCAGTGGTGGGTCTGGCAAATTACCCACTGGCCTCTGTCTTCAGTCAGCTGGATGCCACTCTGGAAAACTGTCTCACAAGCCAGAGCAACAACTGTTACCTTTATCAAGCCTTCATCAAATCAGTTCTCAACTACAGTGATGACACCCTCGCCACCCAATTTTCTGCCAGCCTGTTTTACAAAGATACCCCTGGGCATCATAAAATGGTTGCATGGGATGGCGATAATCAGGGGTTTCAGAGATGGGCAAACTTGACAGACTGGAACAAAAAGATAGAGCTGCCTGGTCATCTCCATAGCAATTTGTTTTTTCAAGAAAAACGGTTGCTGAATGGCATGGATGTGAAAATTAAGTTGACACACAGCAAAGATGCCTTTTGCTTGATGGGTACCACAGCGGCTGGCCCATGTAAATTAAAAATCACAACCGCCTCACTTTTTGTGAAAAAAAGTGAAAGTAGCCCCAGGCATCCAACTGGGCCACATGGAGGCCTTGCTTATGGCCAACGCTAAATACTCCATAGACCACGTGGGTATGAAAGTGTTTAGCATTCCTGCCGGCAGCCAAATCAGCAACCAGAAGAATCTGTTTCTGGGGCAGCTGCCCAAACTCACTGTCATTGGGTTTGTGGACAACAATGCCTTTAGCGGGAATTATGCTAAGAACCCCTTTAACTGTGAACATTACAATAGTAATTTTGTGGCCCTCTACATCGATGGAGAACAAACCCCCACAAAGCCCCTACAACCAGATTTTGAGAACAGTAACTGCATGAGAGAATACATGCAGCTGGTACAGACAGCTGGTAAACATACAAAAGACCGGGCCCTGATAATCAACTGTGAGGAGTTTGCCCTGGGGTACACCTTATTTGCCTTTGACCTGTCTCCTGACCAGGAGTGTGCTGATCATTATTTGCTGATTAAAACTGGGAACCTGAGAGCAGAAATATGCTTTGCTGCGGCTTTGCCCACCATGGTTAACATGATCGTGTACGGGGTCTTTGACAACGTCATAGAAATAAATCAGAAGAGAAATGTTTGACTATATGTGAAGATGGACACTGAACAGATCGTCAGGGTTTTATCCTTAGCCCCTTATGACAAAGAAACTTTCTTAGACATTTTCCCCTGTGACTGGCTTCCTAAGACTCAACTGTCTAAAAGGCCCCTGAGCTTGGTGGTCAACACGCACCAGCACAGTCAACCCGGAGAACACTGTTTGGCTGTTTACCTGGAGGATCAGAACTGCAGAGAATTTTTTGACGCGTATGGTCACCCCACAAACAGCACTCTCTTACCACAAAGCATTATGTTGTTTTTAAACAAGAACACCACTGACACTGTTTTTCAAACAAAACAGTTACAAGACACCCAGTCTATCGCCTGTGGATACCATTGCGTGTTTTTCTTACACCACCGTAGCAAGGGGCTATTGTTTGAACAGATTTTAAAATTGTATTATTCCAGCGATTTGGCACAAAATGATAGGGTGGTGATGCATTTTGTAAAAAGTAAACATAAAAATTGCCGTGTGGCTGGGCCTGCTCAAAACATGTTTCAGTATGCCCAGACACATATTTCTTGGTATGATTTTCACGAATGCTTTGTCTAAATAAAACACACAGCTGATGCTTTATGCGCCAGATTAAAGAGCCGGAAGAAGGTGAGGGGTACATTTTTTATATACTGTGAAAAAGGGTGCCAGGCTTTTTGGCAAAATGCCAGACTTCATAGATTTGAGCTACTCTGTACCCCTTGGTGATAGGTTTATTCAATTCTGGTGTGCACCACGTGCCCAGGAGGGCCCTCTCTTCATCAGTGTGGTTGCACTTTTGCTGTCCTGCTTCTGCACAAAGACGGCACAGTGTGAACGTAAGTTTCCCATTCACCCTGGTGGGTAGCACAGGAAAAAAAGGTTTCATGGTGGGTACAGATCACCCTGACTATTCCAAAATAGCTCGACAGGGGTTGGAAATTGTCATGAATGATTTCAGGGTGTCTGGTTGGGTATTCCTTTGTTTTGTTTATAAAGGGGTAAAGACTGGTAAAATCGTAATAGTGTATTTGTTTGCTGGGTTCAGTTTGGTAATATAGACAGATGGCATTAATTCTACCCTGAAAAAGAGCATCCCTAGGCACCAGTGGAGAAGGCAGCGGGTTCTGTTTAAAAAATCTGCCAGCTCCCCATCCCTTTCTAACAGAGCCCTCCACTTGTGCTCCCAAATGGTCCTAATGGTAAACCCCTCTCTTGAGATAATCGGTTTTGTGCAATGCCTGATAATTCAGAAACCCAAAGGCGGTCCAGTCAACAGGTTCTGATCTTTGTCATTGTAGCAACTGACACAACTGTGGAAAAAGCATCCATTAAATTCAAACGCCGTAGGTTCCCCATCAATGTTGGCGTAGCCATATAAAAAATAGGGGCCTACCTGAAATTCCCCACCCTGTAAGGCATGTCGAATTTGAATATTTTCTTTCTCCAAAATGTACATTAGCCACTGAATAGATGGGGCTGAAAACCTCTTTTTCTGTCTGTGATAGTTGTCCTGGGGGGAGAAGCGCTATGATCTGCGGTTCCAAAAACATAAACCTGTACATGGCCATGCAGACGGAGGCCATCGTGATGTATCGGAAAGTATCTAT